ACTATATACAATTAGAACTATGTCTCCTCTTCATAATAAAGTAGTCCAAATGAAGAGTACCTTGGGCTTAGAGAGCCCACTAGTCTTCAAGTTGTCCAACTCTTCTTGTATGCTATTGGTCATAACTTTAGTGATTAGGCCATTGGCCCGTGGTCCATCACTCTCTTCTCTCTATAAATACTCTAAGCCTCCTCCTTGTTACCGCTTTGGAATATATGTATTTTGAGAGAGCATTTTTTGCCTTAAAAGTTTCCTTAGTCAATTTGGTCCTCACGACCACACTCTTCTTCTCTCTACCCTAGAGTGACCTTAGGTTCTCTTGGGTGGCCTCCACCAACCCTTGGTGGAGAGAGCTAGCCAAGAGCACCAAAAACACCATTTATCCCCCTTCTCCCTTATTTGTCCACTTCCCTTTCCTTTTCACCCATTTTTGTCTTTTCACCACTCTTGAGGAAACATCCAGCCATCATTCTTCATCCTAGTCCGTGGAGAAAGAGGGAGCTCCTCCTTGGATGTCATTGAACACACCATGGAAGGAAGGAGTCCATCACCAACTACATTTATAAGGATTCCATCAATTGTGAAAATTTTCTTGTTTCTGGGGCGTGGGAAATATGTGGAGAAGTGTCTAGGGATTGGTGTCATATGGTTTGTGGCTCTAGAATCTAGAATCCAATAATGGTTAAATGATGTATTTAAGAAATTAAATCCAAAAGAAAATGGGAACTTAATAGAGTATGTCAATAAACACAGACTTGTGGGTTTCTTCAATTTACTAAGAAAAGATTTTACCCTCTCTACCTCCTCATGGTTGAGTTGGATGGATCCTTCTTGACTTTTAGGACCAACAACAACATGAACCTGCCCCTTCTCCTTGGGGGCCTCCTTTGTGTCCCTAATCTTTGCTTTGAGGTTTTTCATGCAACTTCTAACATTTTTCCCTCATGTGCCATGGCTTGTTGCAATAGGTGCACCATACTCCTTCATTTTTCTTCTCCTTATTTGGAAGAAGACCTACTTTCTTTTGTTCCACAACGATGATTATTGCTCTTTCAACAATCATAGTTGAACTATCAGCAGTTGAGGCCTCTAACATTAGGCTCTTTCTACTCTCTTCACTCTGAATAATTGCCACCACTTCATTGAGTCTATAAACCTTTTCCTTTCCCAATATTTGGATCCTAACTTGATCATATTCTTGGTTTAGAACTACCAAGAAGTCATACACCTAGTCTTGCTCAATGTATTCCCTTAGAATTGCTGAATTCTTAGAACACTTGGCCTTTATGACCATATAATGGTTCACTTCCATCCATAATGATTCGAGTTGATTAACATATTTTGGGACAGTTTTAGTGCCTTGTTTGGCTACCATAGTTCTTACTTTACCTCATAAATTTGGGTAGCATCCTTTGCTTTATAGTAGGTTTCCTTTACTATAATCCATATTTCCTTTGCAGAATTGAGGAACATGCATGTATTGCTAATTTTTGGAACCATTGAGTTTCATAGCCATGCCATGATCATGGAGTCTTCTTCATTCCATGACTTGAATTTGGAATCTCCTTCAATAGAGGCATCATCAATCAGATGGCTGACCTTTCCTTTCCTTTTTATGATGGTCTTAATAAGTTGAGACCATTTGAGATAATTTTTTTTTCCATTCAATTGATAAGCAGAGTGGACATTCTACAGTTCACTTGTATTCTTGAACTAGTTGTCTCCATTTTCTACGACTAAATTTATAATTTCAACCTTTATAAATATGTGCAATTAAGGTACAGAGAAGTAGACTGATTTAAAGCATGAAATAGTTGGGAAGCGCTCAACAATAAAGGTTGTGATGAGCATTTGGGATCATGTAGTAATGAAGGCTGCAATGAAATTCTAAGGTTGCACAACAATGAAGGCTGCGATTGGATCATATGGTCAGATGCTCCCAAGGATCAGGAGCTCTGATACCATATCAAATTTAGAAGAAATCATATGTTTTCATATATTATTTTAATCATGAGATATATCAGATTTATACATAAGCCTATTGGCTATTTTAGGTAATAGGAGCAACCTATTCTAAGGGACAAATCCATGTGATTGTGGGATTGTTATTCTAGGGAACAAATCCCTATAATTGTGGGATTGTTTCTAAATATACATACTTAGTATTAATAGTAAGATACAACAAATATAAAGAATTAAAATACAGTAGGAATAATATCTAAAACTTCCTAAAATATATTTTGACAAAAATACTAAGTTTTTTTCATACACACACTCTTACTAGGTGCAAGAAGAATAAAATTCATGGCTTATTATTGGAGGATGGGTCTTTTGTGGGGAATATGAACTCAAAGTTAATCTTGCCAAATCTAGATTTATTTTCTCCAAGGGTGTCAATGAAGAGAGGAGAGACATCCTTGTTGATATTCTTAGCATTAGACATGCCCTTAATATTGGCACTTACCTTGGTTATCGCCCTCTTATAGGTCGTGTAACAAAAATTGATTTTTGGCATGTGGTTGAGAAAATTTAGAGACAACTTACTTCTTGGAAGAACTAGCTTTTAAATCGAGCAAGCCATCTTTGTCTTACTAAGTCAATGCTTGCTTCCATTCCTACGTACATTATGCAACCTTTTTGATACCATCAGGGGTCTGTAATACCATTGATCAACTATGTAGATCTATGTTGTGGCCTAGTAAAGCTTCATCATAACCTTGGAATTTAGTTAGTTGGAAGGACATTATCAAACCAAAGAATACTGGTGGGTTGGGCAAGTGCGTGATATATGTGCATCAAAATATCTTTATGGGGCAAGCTGATTTGGGACTTCTTCTATAATAAAGATAAAACATGGGTTTAGGTTCTATCTCACAAGTATCTACAAAATAAGGCCATCCTTACTCCCTCATTCACTCATAAAGCATCTTATACTTGGAGGAGTATTGTCAAGGCTACTAATGAACTTCAATATGGGTTTGGACATCGTCTTGGTACAGAGCAATCTAGTTTTTGGTATTCTAATTGGTTAGGAACAAGAGCTTTCTACCATAAGATTTTGTTTGTTCAAATCCATGATACCAATCTTATTGCAGCAAAGTTGTGGAATGATGAATTTACAACTTCTTGTTACATCACTTCCTAATAGAGTGCGTAATTTAATTATTGATGAGCCTATCCCTTCACAGCCCATTGGGAATGATGTTATTGTTTGGTACGATAATAACCAAGGGGACCTATACAACTGCCTCAGCTTATAACTGGTACTTTTTCCAAATTGATGCTCCCTATCCTATTTGGAAGGGAATTTGGTGCATGGTTGCTATTGAGAAAATTATATTCTTCTTTTTCCTAGTATCTAGACTTGTCAGGATATCCAACAATGGATTACAACTATTTTACTGTACAAGCCATCTTCTCCCATTCTTTCAATTATTTAGTGCTTGTGGAAATGACATAACAATTTCATCTTTGCAAAGAATAAGTGGAATATCCAATACATTTTCCCCATGATCCGTCATACAAATATTGAGCTAGAATTGTATTGTTCAAGACTATACCACCTGCTGAGGCATGGAAGCTACCAAATCAGTCATGTATAAAGTTAAATGTTGATGGCTCTTGGCTAGCCCATAATGCTATGGGTGGAGGTGGTGTAATTAGAGGTACATAAGGGGATTGGCTATTTGGTTTCTCTAATCACTATGATTTGGGTGACTCCTTATATACTAAAATTTTGGCATTAAAGGATGACCTCCAACATGCTTGGGTTTAGGGCTATACACAGGTCCAATGAGAGGCGAATTGTTTATATGTTTTTAATATGGTTAACAATTTACATAATGATAAAGTAGATATGCATTGCCATAAGGACATGTTATATGCAATTAAGGATCTACTCCATCTTTCTTGGGAAGTTGCATTTTATCATATTAATCACAATATCAATGATTTTGCAGACAAACTTGCATCTTTGGGAGCACGTAAGGAATCTTTGTCTTTTTTCCTCAATGTAACAAAAAAATAAAATAAAATAAATATATAATATTACAAGTTTCACATTTTAAACCAATTCAAAATTGATTTAAAATCTTATTCTAAAATTGAAAATGAACATTGTTTAAAAAAGTCAAAACGATCCATATGTAAAAGATAAATAACCAAAATAAACATTTAAAAAACAAAAAACTAAAATAAATTTTAAAAAATAAAATAAAAGATCAAAGTATAATTCAATTTATAATATATTATAAATTTTAGTTATCCATTTCTATATCTATTTCTTTGAAAAAAAAATTTGTAGACACTTTTCTTCAATGAAAAGTTGTTTTTAAGAATTTTTATTTATAAATTAAATTTTAATATTTTTAAACTAAATTATTAA